ATGCTGGCATCAATTCTCTGGATAAAGCTTGTAAGCAGCATGATATAACGTATTCTTAGAATCTTGATGATATAACGACTAGAAACGTAGCAGACAAAATGTTTGCAGAAAGGGCTTGGCAACGCTTTAAAGCGAAAGATTCAAGTATTGGTGAGGAGGCTGCTGCTCTTGCTGTAACTGGTGTAATGAAAGCAAAATCAGAACTTGGAACGGGCTTATCCAAAAATAAGAAGTAAAAATTGTGAAAAAAAGTTGGAAAGTTAATTACTTTGAGCAGTTTAATTCAAAGTGCAAAAAGTCTATGGTTCAAAATAAATTTGCTCGCAAAGTTGTCAATTCGGCTTTAAAGGGGGCTCGAGATACTGTGAAAAAAGCTGGTGGTGAAAAAAATGTTTCAACACCTTGTATTCTACCTATGCCTCCAAAAATTAGTAGTTTTTTACCCTATGTTATCCCTGCGTTTGCAGGTCTAAACGCAATAGGTGCTATTCCTAATGGAGCGAGCGGTATATATGAGGCCATTAATGAAGCTAAACAATCTAGAAAGCAGCTTGAAGAAAGTGTGAGGCAAAATAGAAAAATAGAAGCTATTTTGCTTGCTAAAGGTCTTTTTTAAAAACCTTATAGAAAGAATTTGGTCTCTACTTTTAACCAGAAATTGGGTTTAAAAAAAAAAAAAAAATTTATAGTAAAACTACCCAATTGAGTGCTAACTAATCAGAATATTATAAAATACGAGCAAATTTTGAAAATCCCACATTTTCAAGGAGTGTAAATGAGAATTGATATGCCATCCAGTGGTCCACTTAACAGTGAATTAGCTGCTGTCAATCTAGATGATAGAGGCGGCCCCGGCACTCACTGGGTTGCCTACAGAAAACGCGGAAATAATGTTACATATTTTGATAAATTTGGTGATCTTTAACCCCCTTTAGATTTAATTTTATATCTCAAAGTTGATTATGTTAGGTACAATTATAAAAGATTTCAAGAGTTTAATACATGTAACTGTGATCACCCATGTTTTAGATTTTTATCTAAGTACCTAAACCGCAAACATATCTATTGCACAAATACGTTTTCTATTCAAATATATTAGTGATTACCTGAAAAAATATGGAATAACAATTGATTGTTGGGGTTGGGGCGCGAAGCATGCAGGAGGCAAAGCTCCACTAATATACATACGTATACCTACATCATTAAATGGTTGAAATCAAAACATTTGGGCATACTCAATAGGTTCTGTATTCTACAAACTTTTTTTTGGCTCTTCAACTATAACAGTAAAGTATTTAAAAAAACTTAGAATTGTAAACACACTTTACTGGAAAAAGTTACGCATTATGTAGTATAATGAAAAAAAGAATTAGCAACAGTTTTAACGATGGAATTGACTTACGTACCTTTCCGGACAGAAGGAGGTTCTAGGTTTTAGCCCAAGCCAAGGTGAATTTTTTTTAATGCTTACTTAATTTATGGTTGATAAGTTTGTACTCTTGTAATTCTGTTGTTTATGACTCTGAGGACCCAAGGAAAGAAAAATTAGTTATTTATAACAACTACTAGCAAGATTTAATTCAAATAATGTTGTTTGACAGTGTATTTTTTAGTAACATTTTGAACAACCCATGGGTCAGAAAGGGCCACTAAGATGGAGCACGTTTAACTTGTAGAGTTGTTGGAGCACGAAAAAAAATTAAATTAAACGTTTAGTTCTCTTTAAAAATCGTAACTGTAAGCGATATTCAAGCTTGCTTATATTTAAAGCGCAAAAAAAGCACAAACAGCTTATGAATCTGAAAAATTGCACTGAGTGTACTTAATGTGGTATACAAAAATGCGACATAGAAGAGTTGACCTGGAGCAAAGTAAAAGTCAAAACTTAATTAAGGCAAAAATCACTCTTGCAAAATCGAGGTTTACCTAGGATAGATAACAGTCTTATGGTTTGAAATCCAAAGAACCGCCTTACTAGCACGAATTCAAAAAATTAGCTATTCTTGAAAAAAGTACAATTGTCTTGCACACAATTACCGTGACCTTTGTAGCTCAAATTTAACAATTAAAGGTACAAATTTTCTAATTTTCCAATAAATGTAAATTGTTAATTTTTTAACTTGTGGTAGCTTACACAATTTATAAAATACATAGGTCTTATATTAGAAGAAGTACTATTACAGAATATCACTATTTAAAGTAAATAACGAAGCCTAAATTAATCATTATAATTTTAAGTCATAGTAGAAAACAAGAAATTATACGACAGGCATACAACACTGACTTATCTTTATTTTTCTTTTATTGAGTCATGAGTAAAAACGCAAGTATTAAGTCAAGACATTCGTTTAGTTTAACAAGTCAGCTCTTCATACGATAGATTATATTATACTGCTATGGTGTCAACATAGTCTGATTAAAAAATCAAGAAACTTTAAATATATTTGAACAGATTTTTACTGTCAGTCAACTTCCAGTAACTTATATTACTGACATATACTTTCTGTGGTCTTTCGAGATCACGTAAATGTATTGACCTAATTAATTGTTTTCCTTATCACTAATGAAAGAATGACTAGTTCAGCCATATACTCTCCATACAGCGTCCTAATACCATTGAAGCACACACAGAAGCATGTTATCGTGTGTATTTACATCAAACATCTTTAAATAACTTAATTTATCAGTTCAGATTTCTTAAAAATCAATAAATATATTCTTAATAAATTTACCTGAAAATCAAGTGTTAAATTTTTACCCTTAAATAAATATGAACGATAGTAAGTTTTACAAATTTTAAAATAAATTTTTTTATTTTATGACTACTTATACATCAATGAGTCATAAGTTTTAAGTTTTTAAGATAATTTGTAAAACGTTTCAAAAATGAAAACAAATTGACTCTTGAATGGAACTTCAAGACTTTTATCCCAAAGAAATGTGACTTCTTACCATGAATACAATAAATATATAGGGTTGGATGACAGATTTTTGAATATCTAGAATTTTATTGTATAGATTACAGAGAGAAATCAGTTACATCATACAAGTCTTCCTTTAAATGTATACATACATCCAGAATAAAACATGATGAATTTTTTGCTATAAATAAACTATGACCAGCCAAAATAAAAGATTTTACATGCTTGTTCTGGCTATGAACGAATTTTATTTTGCAATAGCTAATCTATAGAAATGACAAGATCGAAATTTTTTTAGCATAGAATCGTGTTCGACGACCTAAAAAAAAAGATTTCATATCGTAAGATTTTCGTTTTTTTTATTTATTTTTTTTTTTTTTACTTTTTTGTGGTTCTGTATTATTTTAAGGATTGCGTCTGTTAATAGGCTGTTTATACGGTGCTTTTTTAACTCAAAGATTACCGTTGATAGGATTTTTGTACGTAATAAATAAACAATAGTGGTGTAAATAAAGTTATCCATAAAAAAACGGTTGCTGAAAGTAGTTGAAAATGTTAATTTGTAATGTATACAGACTGATACGACGAAGTCGAATAAATTATACAATAGAGTCTTACGACACGTTTCAATTTTTAGTACATAGATACGAACGAATTACAAATTTTATTTTATAATAATACAATTGAGACAGTAATGCAATTTGATTAGTGGTAAAAACACGCTTCAAAGAGTAAACGATTGTACTAATATCGGTCGAACAAGCGCCATCATGACTACCGCTGTGTTGCAGCCCAAAAAGTCTACAAAACAAGACCCAAGAAACTGTAGGGTAGCCTTGGTTGAATGGCAATTGAGTGACAAATATTTTTTTTTTAAATGTCCTGAGTTAGATTTAAATAGTTTAAGGAAGTAGATTATTAAAAAAACATGATAAAATGGAAATCTTTAAATTGATATACTTTCTGAAACTGTTTTGCGTTCTAAAAAATTTCTTACTTCTGGTACACATTAAATCAGCATCCGTTAAAGTATTGTAAGCATTGGCAAAATACAAACATCAAGGTGTTCTTTTTTTTTAATGCTGCGTATAAAAAATTTTTGCACTCCAGTTGATTTAGCTTGAAAAATTGAGTTGCGTACGTTAACTTAATTCTGATGGAAAATGTTGAATTTAAAATGAACTGCTTGTATAGTACCCATCCAAAAATAAATGAATTAAATAACATTATATACAAGTATCTTTAGGTATAAGTTTAGTAAAATTTCCTTTGCAACAAAAATAAAAGGTTAGAAAAGTTTGATATAAACATTTTTTTCTTAATTTCTTAAGTTCGTAAACAGTGTCCATTGAAACTCTGTTTAGAAAATTTTTTTTCTATTATTTGCTATCCTTTCAAACTTATGTATTCAGAATCTAGCAAACGTAAACTTTTTTTCTAAGTGTTATTTATAAAGTTGATTTTAAAAAACTATGTAAGTAACTTTATTTTTCAAGTAAAATCCTTTTCTAGTGAAGAATTTATAAACAATATCTGCAGGAGCAACTTAATTTAGCTGCCAATTGGTTCTGATCGCATCTAATGCCAGGGATCTTACTGAATTACCGATGCTGACTCATGAAAGAATTATGGAAGTATTGAATCTAGCCGTTTACTCTATAGTTTCAATTTTCTTGGAAAAAACTTTTCAGATTAACTTTCACGAAAAAAAAAAAAAAATTTACAAGAATTTCGTGAACGTATGCGGGAGGTTACGTGAGCCCAAGTCACTCAAAAGTACAAAAAACGGATAATTTTTCACAAGTACTTGCACACTTGTGACTATGTTTTCTTGCATATAAAAATAGTGGTAGAAAAATACCCTGGCCCGCATAAGTTTCTTCAAAGGATAAATGAGTCTAATTATAAGATTAGCCGGAACGGCAGGGATAAAGTCGTATTAACTACGTTATTTAAATCACCTCATTATTTTTCTCTGACTGACCGGAATCCTCGATAAAGAATTAAAATAATTTTTTTTCTTTCCAATATGAAGATTCTTTAAAAGTTAAAAACAATAGAATGTATTATAATTCTTACTTTATAGTTTCAAGGTCGACTGGTTCAACAATGTCAGTATTGGGTTTTTGTAATTTATACTTCGTAACAATTTCTGGAACGTGACTTGATACCCACGTTTTTGACGGTTCAATTTCATCCCAAAGTATAATTGACTTAGCCAATACTCGAAGTAATAGAAGATCGGGACGAACAAAATCAAGAAGGTACTGTGTATTTGGTACTGTCATCCATTCAGCTATAGCATGGTTACTTGTTCTAAGATACATCAATCCTAAGGCGATTGTGGCTCCAGGACTAGTAACATCAATATTAATTGAATCTCCTTCTTTAATTTGATAGCTAGAACAAAACAATTATTTACAGAAATAGTTTCGGCAAATCATTAAATTGTTAGTTGATAAGAAAAGAATTAAATACACTTAATTTTTTTAGTGCAGTGCATACAACATTATATTTTAATGTATACATTTTATTACAAAGTGAAGTTTTAATAGCCTAATACTTAGCATGCAAGCTTTTTAGTCAGACAAATTGGAGGGATCCTGTGTTCAAACCCAGCCAAAAAATATTTAAAAATTTTCTTAGGATTTTTTGACGGAATAAATACCCAAAATGTCGAAAATCAATCATCTAAATTTTAAAAACAAAAAGTAGAGGTTTTGGGTAATTCTAAGGCCCAAGAAAAGTTTATACCTGGCCAGCTCATCGCTCAAGTCACTACAGGTTTAAAAGAGACTGATATAACTAGCTGAATGGTTTATTGACAATAGATGGGTAGTGCTTAAGACAGTCACTGCGCTTTGCCAATGTTATCCAGTAGAATAGTTGACCAAGTCGTCTAAGAGAAACTTTGCAAGAGATCGACATGAATGACTTTCACACTCAGGGAAAAAAGACAGTAATTATAAATAACAAGGAAAAAAAAGCAGATATCTAAAATGAAGGATAAGTAACAAACTTCTAGATGGGTACGATGGGTAAACATAAAATTTTAATAATAAAGTGTTACTATGAAATCAAAATATATGGATTCTAAAACTTTTGATCAGTATTTATCCTTATCACTTAAAACTATACGTAATATTTAAAGAGTACGGAATAAAAATTTAATAAATTAAGAAATGGCAACTTACAAATAACAAAAATTACACTCATGAATAACTATACAACCTCGTGTTATGATTATATAATCATTTAAAGCACAATACTTTTATAATCAAACTACTCGCCATATTAACGTATGGATTCACCCAAATGCACTGCATAAACGACGTCATTACCTCTTAACTTGACTTTTGCAATTCATTCTAATGCTAGTAAACATAGACAGTACTTATGTGGTTAAAGGTATATTTGATAAATTTGTAAAAAAGGGTAAAAACTAAAAAAAAGTACACAGTCTCAACAATAACTTCAACAAATGTAGTTTCAATGTAAACCCAATAACTAACTTAAGATATTTTCTAATCCACTTGAAGTTGTTTTTTTACCAATAGTAAATTCAAGTTATTCTCTAACAAAAACAGAATAAGATTTATAAAAATATCAAAAAACTATCAATTAACAAAGAGTCTTTCAGAATTTCGTGAAGTATGCCAATGAAAAAAATATAACATACAGCTGCATTATTAGGCAAAGCACTTCTTACATACATTCTTAAGTGCTGTTTGGGAATGTGGATTAAATTTAGGGGTTCGTACTCCAGTAATTGAGTAATAATACAGAAGAATTGACAAACACTTGCTTATAACTAATTTTACTTTAATGTAAGTAACTTTACTCCTTATTACACCTTTAACTATTTTAGATTTCTTACTTCTACGATCAATTACGAATAATACAAATATAATTACTGCCTGAACGCGAAGCGAGTTTACAAGATAAATTAATTTTGTTGTTCTCGACTTGAATTGAAACAATAGAGCGCTCGCCTTGAGTATGTAGTGACTCGACAATTGGACACGGACTGACTAACTCGTGTCGTTCTCGCAGAGAGAGAGAGAGCCGCTGCTCTCTTTACAAGTGCAAGGATTGGATAAATGGGACAAGGCACGTTAAATTCTCATAGGTTCGCCTTGATATCATCACGATTTATTAAGTAGTATTAGTGAGCACGCCAAACTATGACTTCATTCTAAGTACTATGACTTCATTCTAAATACTATGACTTCATTCTAAACATTCCCCCGCCTTTGCTTCGACGGAAGGAGAAGCAATTAAATTAAACAATCAAGAAAATTTAACCATAACTAAGGTGTAAGATAAAGACGCAATTTTTACTACATTACTTACTATATAATGCTTCATTACCAATCAACAATATCAACTTAGTGACTGGTCGAACAAGAGTAGTATCAGCTGTATTAACTTTAAAAACTCGCACTTTTGAATCACGGCCAGGAAATACTAACACTCTAGCTAAGGGCCAACAACCAGGTAGAGAGATTTCCCCTTTAATAATCACTAAATGATCGACTTGAAATGATCTCTGAGGGATAGTGCACTTTGTTCTTGGCTACAAATTAAGTAGGTGAGCAGGAGTTCAACTTTCCAGGTCTGACGGATCATCGGTCAAAAGAGAGATTGGACGCGAATTCAAGCATGCTTCTTTTTTACACAATAACGTAGAGTATTCCATAAATGTGAAGACCTGATTACCTACTACTGTATTTAAGTGATGCTTAGTAGACTTTACAGTTGCTTTCCAAACTCCACCAAAGTGGGGGGCAGCTGGAGCGTTAAAGTGCCAATTGGTTGCATTAAAGTTGACAATTGTGTAATTAGATCGTAAGAATTGCAAAGCTCGATTCATCGGCGTCTCAACTCAATGTCAGCACCAACAAAATTAGTTCCTCGATTACTATACAGATCGAAGCAATACCCTCTTCTAGAAATTAAACGTTGAAACGTTGCAATAAAGTCTTCAGTGCTATAGTCTTTAACAATCTTTAAGTGGACAGCCTGAGGACAGACAAATATAACTACATATCTCTGAGTTATGTCTTTACCTCTGAATTTGGCCAATCTAACGGAAAAGAGTCCTACTCAAGTTTCACTAATCACAAAGATTGTCAAGGAATTTTAACATGAACAATAACTGGAGCTAACTAACCGAGAGGGTCATGCAACCAAGCTATGTGAGGAAGTATAGATCTTTTGGACCATATTTCACGGATAGGGGTTCCACAGATACGATAACGAAACACACTCTCGGACGGTAACCACAAGAGTTCAAGAACTTGGACAGAAACTTCTGAATCACTTATGGTAATCATCGGAGTAGCCGCTAGTAAAGTATTGGACAGACCTTCCAAAACCTTATCATCATTGGCGGACTATTTGTGCAAGAAGAAACCTCTGAAGTTGGTCACATTAATCAATTGTTTTTTTTTTCAATTAGTGAATGACCACCAGATAATATATCATCCATGTAAATTTCATTGCTCAATACCGTGGGAGCTAAAGGATAAGCTTCATTGTAATCAACAGCTAACTGCTTCATGACGCGCGTAGCTAAGAAGGGTGAAGCTAATCCATAAGTAACAGTCTTTAACGAGTAAATTTTTAAGGGTGTCGAGAGATTGAATCGACAATATTTGCACTGAAACTTCATATCTAACTCACGAATTCAAGTTTGTCGAAAAAGTTTTTCGATATTGGATACAAAGGCGAATTTGTAGTTTCTCCAATTAGAAATAAGATTAGACAACCCAGGAAGTAAGTTGGGCCCTGAATGGAGAAGCTTATTTTATAAAGTATCGGAAGAAACCTTTGCTAAGCCATTGAACACGGTACGAAGTTTAGTAGTGGAGCTCGACAGTTTGATTACACCCTGATGAGGCATAACCCAACACTCTTTAGTAAAATCAGTATTAATTTCACACATGTGGTCTAGCTCTTGATACTCTTGCATGAATCTAACATACAAGTTGCGAAGTTTTGGGTTTCTCTGAAACCTACGCTCCAGACAGTTCATCATATTTAAAGATAGATGTCTAGAGTCTTTTGCGAGATTCAGAAAATTTAGAAAATAGTTAGGATTGTATTTAAAAGGCAACCTGACGATATATCTACCCAAATTGTCTTTTGAGTGTGTATTAGAAAAATAATTCTCACAATTTATCTCGTCAGGTATTAATTGTTTCTATGAACTACCGGGAATCTCCTCTATCTCTCAAAATATTAGCAATAATGGTACCAGCTGGGGCTCTTCTGAACAATGTAAAGAGACAGTACTACAAGTAAAAGATTTAACTGTACCCATTGGACCTGACAAGATCTAACCTAGAAGAGTATGAGTGGCAATTAGTTCATCGAGACTTACTCTTTTAATTTCTTCCTCTACAACCCTTGCATGAACTTCAGCTGCTAGGATAATGTCTATTTTATCAAAGCTAGTTTATTGTGGGTTAGCTAGTTTAATGCCTTTCTAGTAGTTTAAACTGGTTTCGTATCGACTAACTGAAGGTTGATAAGAAGAGACCTGTGGCAAAACCTTAACTTCTACCAACATCTTGAACTGTGATGGAAACCTGGGCTTTATTTCAAAACTAACAATCCTCTTGGCCACTCCTACAATAGCGCCATCAGACCCAGAGATGGGAATACTCGAATGCTGTCATTTCAGCTTCAATACGTCACAAAGAGAATCAGACACAATGGAGCATTGCGAGCATTGTTCGATAAGAACTCTAACTAACAAACGTACACCAGTTGGACTAATGACATATACACGAGCCGCAGCTAACAATACATCAATTCCACTAAAGGGAACGACTCGACTCGATTCGACTCTAAGACGACTCGACATGATGCGAAGCATGCTTAGAATTGGGTCATTTATGTTGGGGAAATAATTATCGCTTTTTTTATGATCCTGGTGTTCCTGACTCTGAGCAAGCGTTTGTAAATGTAGGAGGGTATGGTGCATTCTCTTGCACGTCAGACAACTAAACTTGGACTTGCAATCCTTCAACCGATGCCAACCTAAGCAATTGAAGCATAGATTATCCTTTACAATAAAATCATTACCAACCTCGACGGAAAGAGTTTTGAAACTATCACATTTACTTAAAGTGTGAGCGCCTTTGCATAGTAAACAAGTAGGCATTTTCTTAACAGCACGCTGGTCTTTAGTGGGCTCAGAAGAAACATGGGATTGGTGAGAGACCGTAGAGGGGTATCTAGAATTTGATTTCCCAGCTTAAGGTTTTGGGGCAGTGTTAACGATCTCACAAGATTCTAAAGTTATAATCTGAGACAATATGAATTCACTTAACTTGTCGAGAGTGGGTGGTTTTGTACTACTTCTGAGAAACTTGTGACAATTCTTATTAGTA